AGAGATTGAGACAGAAGGAGGTACTGGATAGAGAGACCGGGATGGTTTTTAATGTGAAGACAACAGCAACAACAACACAGGGACCTGCACCTGGAAACAGGGCGTTTGCCGATACTTTAGGTTTTGCGAACAACCACCTGGGTGCAGAGAAACAATTCATAAAGTGGGTGTCGCAATTGTTGATATTGGGTCTTGGACTGACCATATGTAGATTGGCATGATCACCGTTCTTTGTAGGTGTGGACGGATGCGATGTTTGTGATGATAGATGAAGGATTTGATACAAAGTGACATAAACGAAGCCGATTGAAGGCCGGCGTGCAATGCTCTAGGACCAACAGCAGTAGCAGCGTATGCCAATTCCATTCAAGGTTTGTTGTAGAGTACAGTACAGCACTAGTCTAGTTAGCGTCATTACATAGTCTAGACGATCTAAATATTCGTGATAGCTGCCGCAAGCAACACGTCGGCGCTACAACACCAAAAAGCAAACCTGGGAAGTGGAAAATTACAGTCATTCTTGGGTGTGCCGATGGTTCGGAAAGGTTCGGTACACGTCGTCGCTGACCCACCGTGTGCGTGAGTCGCAACGCCAGATAGTGTAGCATTTCTCGACGCGTACGTGTGGCCAGCAAAAAAAAAACGCACCGATGTCGGTCTAGCTTAAATGTAGTCTAATGTCTGACGACCACATCCTGTGAGAAAGTCTAGCCGATAGATAGTTCACATGATTATCATCTATGCATCCCCCACACTACACACGTAGTGAACAAAGCGTACAGATTCGAAGACCTTCTACATTGTGGTATGTATCTTCGATACAACGAGTAGACGAGGACTGAAGGAGAACGGTTAGGAACAGCGTCAGTCGCTGCGGTTGCACCGTCTTCTACTTGCAGTCTCTCCATTAAACGTCTCGATAGCTTGCTACAGCCATGCTGTACGAAAAAAAACCGCGACGCTTCGCTTGTACTGCCTATGAGCAACCACGACATAGTCTAAAGGAATGCCTCTATGTCGGTGTGCTAATTAGACAGTACAACCGAAAGGTCGGGGGCTGCATTCGATGGCGGGGCTGTAGTGGGCTACGACATGTTTCAGTGGGAGCCAGCACGCAACGTGGGTTGTACCCATCGTCTCGACATCGTCTCTATGGCTGTGTACTGTAGAACTTTACATATAATTCGACGATGCACATTTAGATTACCCCACTGCTATCTACGATGCGTATCTGCCTCCTCTAAGATTCGGCCCTCCCCTTCTTGACCTGCCCGTGGATTGCAGATCAGATGTTGCTCGTGGTTGCCCAAAGAAAGGTTATCACGGAAAATCCCGCTGGGACAGGGGAGGGACCAAACAGAGCCAAACCCCCAATTTCTGTCTCTTACAGTAGACTATTTAGTCGATTTCGTCGTCCCCTTCATTTCGGAACGCCATTGGTTACACGGTTCGGTACCATTTCTCGACGCACCAGCCATCCAGAGTGTCACGCGGGAGGAAGGTCACACAACAACAGCTACTTGTTCTCCGCCTTCTTTCTGCGGTGCTTGCCTTCATCATTGTCGTGAGAAGGATTACATACAAGAAATGGCCATCAAACAGGCTAAAGAACGCCAACCTCTGGTGCTCTGCAGCTTGGAGATCTACTGGAGGTGTACATACCATGAGAGGACAGGCGCCGCCGACGATGCCGCCGCTCTCATTGGTCTAGATACATACCTTTCATGGATGCGCCTTGCGGTGGTTGGACCAACATGCAGGCTATAGTCTATGTACCGCAACAAGGTAGGGAGATGTGTATACATGTGCTGACAAATAAAACCGCCCCATCGATCGAGCGAACCGACC